CAAGAACTAAACACATTTATCTCTACATTTCTTGCTAGATAAATACAGTTTTCTGGCATCACACTGAAATATCCTCATGAACATACTGTATGATTCAATGCTTTAATACCTGTGTTGGTTTTGCCAGAAATAGATCAAATATATTGGTAAGAGAAAAACTCATCCTCAATCAAAACCTTCTGCCACTTCAAGCAACAAAATGGCAAAGAAATTACTCCATCCCTTAGCAAACACTTTAGAGGTCTGTATTAGTACTGGGACATACCAATTTATATCTCAGCTTTGCTTATTTTCTTTATGATGATGTTATCAACTTCACATGATGTAAGCGACTACTCCAAACTGACATACAGGAGGAACAATAGGTGCTTTTTTTGCCCCTTTCATTTTTTTAAATAGATTTCTTCTTTGCATCTTTGAGCATGTATTTATACTTCACTGATTTTATTCAGCTTGCTATACTCCTTAGCCTTAATGCAAAAAAGTCATCTGCTATATGAATTAGAAGGGGAAAATACATAATGCATGCAATAAGGAGGATGCATCGAGTTAGTAAGCATCTACATCTGCCACTCAGTCATTGCTGATAGCATTTTCCTGAGGCAATATATATACTAAACTTTGGTTTGGGAGTTGGGGTGGGGTGTTGTTGAAGTAAACACCACCAAAAATTGAGGCAGAAGCACTGCATTGATACCTCTGAATTTAGAGGAATAGTACCTGTATTTACTGATTTTGTAGAGAAAAATTATGCGGCCACACAAAAAGGCTGAAAACCTCTTCAAATTCATTGTTTCATAAGCAAGTGAAAAAACAGACAGCATAAACACATCAAGGTTATACAGATTATGGTCAACCACATTACAAAAGTAACATACCATCTAGAACTGTTGTTCTAGGGAACCTCATTACACTGAGATGCATTTACATAGAAAAATAGATAGGTAACTTGACTTGTTAAAGTAATTAAACGTGATCATCTCATATAACTAAGCAGATTCTACAGCACATGGGACCAAAAGAATACCACATGATGCATTCAGCCTAAGTATGCTTGCACTGGGGCCACTTGGCATTTTCTCCTTGAATTTAGACTAGAGTTTGTGCGCTCTGCAGCTCAAGCTTGTTTTGCAGCTCTGTTAATAGATCAAAGTTAAAAGCCATCACGCATGCACCAGGCCAGAAGTTCAGATGTGGTTGTCTGTCCAGGACACTGTTCTTTTGTACAGCTCACCATCATGATAAAGGCTTGACTGGAGGCTCAGGTAAGGTTAAGACATATTGCTTCGTTCCCCCCTGCCCTGAAAAGCTGATTTCCCCAGTATACATACTTTTGGGAGACATGCCAAAGGGCTCTAGAGAAGAAAATGTATCATTTTCAAGAAACAAAGGATTTAACATATACGTATATATTTTAACTCCAGTAACAATCTCCCCAGTGTATTTCCCAAATGTCTTGATAACACTTTTTATGATGCAAACATGAAAAGCAGTAACAGCTTTTTATTTCAAATCAGCTTTTTATTTCCTCTTTGACTGTAAACATTCCTCTCAGCAGAACCCAGAGCAAGGTCACCCTGCACTACTGTTTGACAAGTTCCCACCAAACAGTTTCGACCACACACATGCTGTTAAGCCCACACCAAATGCCAAGTGAAACCCTAACATCTGCATAAATCTGATTTCTGAATAGGACATGGAACATACTTTGAATTAGCACTTGGTCACATCTGCCTCAGTCACTTCAGTGGAAGAGGACACCACAGGAAAGCCTGAGCTCTGGAACAGGAGCTTGAAAAAGAGAGCAACACAGTAGCAAAACGAAAGGCAATGCAGCACCTGAGAGAACAATGTGGGGTTTTGGGTTTTTTTGACTCATGATAGGCACAAAGTAAAACCTAAAATTGAGAATAAAACAGAGAAATATTAAAGTTGTATTATATTAATATATCCTTCTTTGGTTATCTTTACAAGCTATGTAAAGCACTTTACATATGGACAGTTTCCTACTTTCGTGGCACAGTGTCCACTTGCTCACGGACCATCACACTGACAAAGTCAGAGCAGGTACCGCAATGAGCAGCATCAGCACCAAATGAGCACCTCAAATACATACGCAGCAGCATGCTTTATGTGCCACATCAGCTGCACACCTGCATTTAATGACGGAGTGCAGTTATTCTCTCCTGCCTTCTCCCAAGAATGGTCATGTTGAAAACCCTACACCACACCTAATGTTGGAGCAGCCTGCTCTTGAAGGCAAGTGCAGCAGACTTACCAGTTCAAGTATGCACTACAATTACACTGGTGTAATTTCACAGAATCATCACAGAATGGTTTGGGTTGGAAGGGACCTCAAAGATCATCTAGTTCCAACACACTGTCATGGGCAGGGACACCTTCCACTTGACCAGGTTGCTCAAAGCCCCATCCAACCTGCCCTTAATTTCTTTGAAGACCTAAACAAAACCCTCTTAATCTGGAACCAGAACACATACCATTTATGCAAACAGCTATGCCAGTATATGCGATCACTGCCCATTAACCTGCTTTCTCAGCTTAGCTCCTCCTCTGCAGGAGACTGTCTCTGAAGTTTGCTGGCAGACTTGCTCATATGAAGGCTCCTTTGCCTGCTTCAAACAGTTTTTCCACATTTCTTCAGCTAACTTAAGCTATTCTGACTGAATCAGGTTAGAAAACATTGATACGAGTTGCTCTGCGAAGAGCGACCAACAAATGACAGACAGCAAAGTGCAAAACCTCTTTCATCAGTTCTGATATGAATCCCATCACAAATGTGATCAGTCGTGGACATTCAGAGAGTTACAGGTTCACTCCAGAAGTGTAACTGTACTATTAAGCTTCCCCTAGCCACATGGGCCTCTTAACATTCCATTCAAAGTGAATTTTGGGGGCCACACTAGTAAGTCTCTCTGTATTTTAAAACTGGTAAGAACTACCCTCTTATGCTATTTGGTTCAAGTTTTTGCGAGTCTCTTGCACTGCTACAGCTTAAAAAGAAACAAAAAAAAAAAAAAAAGAAAAGGTTGGGTATAAAAATAGGAAAGCACTAAAAGAAAAGTGACAGTAGGGAAGGGGGATTTAAATGTTTTAAATTCAGAAAACTAGTCTGGGGAAGCCATGACAATTAAAAGTGTCAAGAAGCACACAAGGGTACTACTATTGAGAGAACGTTTTTGGCTATTATGAGAACAAGACAGTTTGGAATACTATACCATGAGAATTTTACCAAAAAGTTCATTCACATAAAGACTACACTAACTGGATCTTCAGAATTCCCCTCCCCTCACATGTTTCGAGAATCATCACAATGTATCAACAAGGCAATAGCACCAGTATTAATCACCCCTGCATGCAGAAATTGTAATTTTAGCAGTCAAACGTAGTCATACAATAAGGTTTATACTCTGTTCATAACTTGTCTTATACTCACAGCTACCAACAGTGGAACAAAATATATTTGCCATACTATACACACGCTAACATTCCTGCTACCAACAGGATTGAGTTTCAGGCAGTATTCCAAGATCAATCTCATTACTTGTTAGTATTTTGTTGAATTGTCTTTTTAGAAAAACAGGGTCTAAACTTAGAATGAAACATGCTGATGAAATGGGTTTTGAGGTACTTGGATTCTGCTAGACAGTCAACACTTCTGTAATTTGGGAAAGACTAAAGCTTACACGTGTTCTTTTAGAACAATAGAATGCATTAAAAAAGACCAGTACTACTAAAGTTAACTTCAGAAATAATGATCACCAAATCTGCGTGCACCCATACCAAACATTTGTTTAACAACCATTAAGTTTAACATAGTCTTAATAGAAGTTTTTGTAAAAAGAACCTAAATGGCCAAAACCAAGGTAATCCTTATCTTCTCAGTTCAAAACCTTTAAGACACCAGTAGAACTCTGAAAAGCGAGTGACAATGAATGCCAACAATATAATTGCAGATTTTCTTTGGACTTGTAGTTTAAGCTTGTCATTTACATTTGAAAGATTATTCCTATTTTCTGCAAATCTGGGAAGAATGTGTTGAGTTTCTGCATTACAGGTTAGTGCTCTAATGGAAGTTTTCAGAAGCACGAAGGATTACAGTGATTAATGCAGTAGTCTATTAGCCTTGAGTCCTATTTTTTCCCAGGGCTTTTAAAATCTGTGTGTGTATCTTGAAATAGCAGAAAGCCACAGTTCTAAGTCAAGGTTTTGATGACTATCAAGAAAAGATTTACATTTCAATAAATTTCTACTGAATATGTTTTCAGATTTCTAGGAACTCAGTTTGTACTGAATTACTATCTCCAGAGCTAAAGTGTTTAAAACTGTCTTAAGAGACATTCTTCAATTCTATAGAAGAAAACCCAATGATACAGAAAAGGCTTCTCTCCCTATGTCGTCACTGCTCCCACCTCCTTTATATGCACACTTAGCAATCTCAAAAATACTAATCAAGCACAAACAAGGCATTTTAAACAGGTAAAATCATACATTTACACAGCAGCCACTGTGAACTTTATTAAGAAAATAAGTGTTTGCCAGTTAAGCTACCACAACTTTATTGACTTCTCTACTTATTCGTAGAAAATCAGTTCCTTCATAATGGCTCTGGAAACCATTTATTGCCAGGTAAATGCTGAACCACTGGCAACACATGCTCTCCTTGGAACTCTGGCAGCCTTACCATGAGAAGAACTATATACATCTGCAAATTGCAAAGCAAGCAACACATCTTTCATTTGAGCAACAAAGTTATCCTTGAGGCAGATATCATACTAGACAAACAGCAAAAACACCTTTACATTAAGCAATATTTTCTGCCGTGACAGTTCCACAAAATGAAGTGGAATTTGTGAGGGGAAAAAGGTCCGTAAGACACCAGTTACGCATTCTCTTTGTGTAGCTGTGTAGTCAATTCCTATTTCTCAGGCTGGAGTGGTTGAGCTAAAACAAAACACAGTATGATGATCCAGCTTCATAAAAATGTCCTGTTGCTAATGCATCTGCTTTTGCCTCCTTCCCTCTTTAATAGTCCTATGCAGTCCTATGCATTAGAATTCAGGACAAGGCTTCTTCGTTCATCTGAAGTCAGAGTTATATTCAATCCTCTAAGCAACTCAATGCAGTTTATACACATCTCTGAAAAGAAGTTCTCCAGTCCTAAGTAATTCAACCATTCTATTTCTTCAACTCCAGAAGCTGTTTTAGTTCCTTTTTCATCTTCAGCTTGTAGCCACGTGGCAAAATAGCATTGTCATGGGCTGCATATAGTAGGATTTAATCTTTATTAATAGCTTCAGTAGATTGCCCGAGGATTTTTAGTACTGTAGTAGGCTTCACATGCAGCTACATAAGCAGATTCTGGGAAGAAATCATCATGGTATTCTGCTAAAAATCTATGAAGAAAGCACACAAAAAAAAAAAAAAAAAACCAGAACATGAAACATTTAAGAGAAAAGCTATTTTCAAATTAATTTTTAAGCTCAGCAAAACCACAGCCTGGGAATTAAGAATTATTGTGCTTTGAAAATTGGCATACAAAAGGCTTGCTCTATTTTTACAAGTTCTATAGCCTTCCCATATCATTCTCAACTTAAACAGTAATTAAAAAAAAAAAAATCCAAAAGTTGAAGCTACACTTAGAAAAGAATGCAAAGAACTATGACTACAACCAAAAGTGAAGAGATCTTTCTGCAACTTCTGTCAGTCACCTGCTCAGCAGACTATTTTCATTTATGTCAAACCCAGAATTTTCAGTTATCACTACGTAGTATCTTACACAAGTGGCCAGCAACCACTGAGTCAAACTGTATCTTTTAAGGCAACTAAAGTTATAATTTGTTGTTTCATACAACTCTATATTCAGCCCTAAACCAAAGAAAAACACTGCTGCTACTAAAACCAGTTACAAACAGCTAAAACAACACTAAGCTTTCAGCTCTTTCCTTCATATACAAAGATACTGCATATGCAAGTGGGGGCAAATGGGCAAAATAGTTCTTAAACCATGAAGTACATGATCAAGCTGTACTTCAGGGGGGAAAAAAAAAAAAAAAACACCTCCAAAAAACAGAACAAAAAAAACAAAGAAAAAAAAAAACACGCACAAAAAAAACCAAAAACCAAGAACAAAAACAAAAACACACACAACACGAAAAAAAAACAACCCCAACCCCACAAACCTTCAAAAATACCTGGATATTAAAGATCAGCATTAATGAACATGACAAAATGTTAGCCACAGGTTCTCTGTGTTAGAGTAGGAAGCAATGGAAACAACAGGGAACAGCATCATTTGCAGAGTCTGGTTTCTCTCAGAACCCCTGGGTAAGGAGATGACTTCACTACTGGAAGCTAAAACCAAGCAGTTTTCCATAGCCAATACTCTGGACACAGAGTCCAAATTTAAAGAAAAGTACAGGTGACTGCAATTAACACCACAGTGCTTCTGCAGCAGCTACAATGCCTGAACTAGGCATGTCCTTTGATCTTAGAAGAGCCAAAACATCAAAAGAATACTGACAAAGATTCTCTATATAAGTCAATCTAAATTTAATCAGGAATATATCAATTGCTGAGAGCTCTTGTCATTAATACCATCCACCACCTACTTTTCCAGGTTTACCAGACCATAAGTTCTTCTAATATGTTATGGTTTGTTTTGGGGTTTCTTTTCCATAAGATAAGAGCTATCCCTCAGAAACAAGCCAATGACACACAGAAACAGTTCACACAATCAGATCTCCTCCTGATCTTGAGCAAAACGCACCAGCCATTTGCACTACACACACACACACACACCACCTAAGAAAACCACTACAGAGTACCAACTTTATAGCAACTTAGAAGTTAATAAAATACCCAACTCATCAACTGCTATGATCTCTGACTGTAGTTAGCAATAAATCACTGTCTAGGATATGTGGGGCTGGTATGAAGTGAGTGTGAAAATGCCTAAAACTTCACTGACTCCAGTCTAACTTTTAACATACTTAATTACAGAAGATCAAGATCAGTCACAATTGAATTTAATAATTCTTCATTAACACACATTAATGTCTTGAAGAGATAAATGAACTACAATGTCAATGGGTAACATTCTGTAAAACACAGTACCAAGTGCTAGATCATATAAAGGAGTATGTTTTAAAAAAACATCAGTAAAAGAAAGGAACCTTCAGAGGGCACTGGATAACTGACAGTTTCAAGAATTTTAAGGCCAAATAATGGGAAAAAGGTTTATTTTCTCTTCTAAATTTCCTAACTTTGCTGAAGATCGTTGGTCATAAATGCTAGTTTGGTGCAAGCTAAAGTAACAGCCTGTAAAGGTGAGAAATTTTAGCCAAGACGCTTACAGCACAGCTACAAAAGGCAGAATGCATGCAGTCAAATGTACATTTCTCTGTTCTTAATGTAACAGTTGTGAAAACCACAATACCCTAGAGCTAGCAAATACAAACTACTTTCTGCACAGAAGCAAGAGGAAAAAGGCAGAAGAACACAAGATCAGCTTCTGTCCCAATCACTTGTGTATCTTTCTGTATACACAGAGCAGTGGCCCTTCTGAAGCTGCATTCTATTCAAACTAGATCACAGTGTAGAAAGCCAGCACAGAAATATTAAGGATCTTTTACGACTGTTAGGTACCGAGTATCTTGCTAATGCTTTGCTTTTAGAAAAGCTGAAATAACACAAAGATCAGTTACACTGGTACATGCACGTTATGAGCCAAGATTTAAAAAACAGAGGCAGATGTACTTAGCAAGCAGAGCCAGCAGCTATAGATCAGAAAGCACATTGCTATTTAGCTATTCAGAAATTGTTTCATTACTTTCAACTTATAAATCTGACCAATTCAACCACCTGTTGCATTGCCTTTTTCATTTTTAGACTTTTTACAGAGTTCATATGCATACACCTACACAGTGAAACTGCTTATGAGTAACCCAGTTTTGAGATGCACAATCCACACAGACATCCCGATTTAAGACTGCACACTTTTTTCTCATCATGAGCATCCATGAAAATAATACTTATGCTTTATAGTCATGCTCATGAGGTACATAGAAGTAACATGGCAAAATGCAGCTATTTCCCTCTCTACCACAGGTTCCTAGAAGAGCAGTGTTTCAGAAAGGACTAGAGGGGATGCAGACAAGGAAACAGACATGTGGGTAACCTAGCTTGCTGAATTCCTGTTCTGATCTTCAAGTGTGGCAGTCTGTAAGCAAGCTGATGTCAGGTGACTCCAAGCAAAAGCCTCCCAAATACACTACCATCTGGCTGAGAGTTATGCAGGCAAATCTACCAAAAAGAGCCACAGAACTATTATTATCCACATTAAAAGGCCACTTGACATACATATGTCGAACATTTCTCAACAGTGTCACTGAATTAATGAACTTTAAGAGTGTCATCTGGTAGCAAAACCTGGCAGTGTCAACACAACCTATTACCTGAACAATCTGCATGAAGAAAAACATTCTAAATATCAGCTAGCATCCATAAATAAGCTCAGGGACAGCCCAAAAAAATGTGAAAATTACAAAGAAAGGAAAACCTTAATTCTAAGAACAACCACCTCAGCCTTAAAAGAATACAGAATTAAGAGGAAAAGTTTCCAGGTAGGTGACATTTATATACTTTTGCTGCAGAGGTCAGGACGGTAAGCAGATGCTTTGATGAGATCAGTGGTCTGGGCTAGATGCTGTTTGAAAGGCAACTGTGATGATCTATCTAAAGGCATTTGCTTAAAGAACATGATGGATCCTAACTCTGTGAGTCACCTCATCAAAAGAAATGTCATTTGCAGATTAAGAAGCTATCTCTCCTCTGAGACTACTACTTGAAAGTAGGATTTGAAAGCTTAAAAGCTTAGTTTCACACAAAAGTATGTGCCACCACCTGATCCCCACCCCTTCTGATTGATAGACATGTCTCCATCTGGAAGACTCTTCAGGGCAAAAGCTCACCAACATAAAGTTCATCGTAACCCCTATGCAGTCAACAGAACAAACGAAGTCAGAAGTTTCTAGATGTTTATTCTCATACTCAGTATCTCAAGAACATGCCAAAGGAACAACTAGGCTTGTTTTGTTGACTGGATCCTTGTCACTCATCCACATACAGGAACAGAGATAATTTTCCTGGGCCTTTAAAGGGCAAGCACAGAGAACTCTGAAGATGTCAACATAACATTTCCAGTAACCAGGCCGCGTGAGTGAAAATTACAAGTGGTAACTTCTAGTAGATTTTTTGGGAAAACAGTCTTAAAAGGGCTCAATACAGGAGTCCTTGGGTGGTCTTGAGGATGAAAACCCACTTTTGGCAAGGCCAGCACAGGTCCCAGAATCAATTCTTCAGAGCTGCCTTCTAAAAAACCTATCATAACACATTTAAAATATTTTGAGAACTCTCAATTTAGACATATGACCCAAAGCTCTCATTTAAACACCCAGGCACCTGATTATTTGGTAAGCAGAAGACAAAAAAAGCAATCGGCTGCAGTTTCAGGAAGTATTTTTGACAGAGCAATCAAACCTTAGTCAAAAAGAATAAGCACACACAAGCAGATTCTGCAGACCAAGCAGGTAAACAAAAGCCTACTGGAAATAAGCCATGCAATACCAGGTACTCATTGATTAAGAAGCATTCAATACAAAGGTGCCAAAAGTTTGAGAGGTCCCAACAAGGCAGTTACCTTTCTACCCATTTGATGATACAGTGAAGCCCAAATACAACAATAGTAATGCCCTAAATAAGGCATATACATTCACTGTGAGAGAATTCCTTCAAAGCATTTCAAAACCTAGAAAACAACATTCATTTGCCTGCCTCTAAACCCACACTTGTCCACACTCAGAACCTTGACTTTCTCACAGTTAGGCTCCATTTCCATAAAGTTTTCTAGTATGTCAGAATTGCTATGCTGAACAGGTATTTTTTGTCAAGTAACCAGTTAATCCCAAAATCCAGAGGAAATAGACAAGCCCTAATCAACAGAAGTAAAAGTAGCAGAATTGACTTCTTTATGATCTTTCGAAAAGTGTTTGGTCAGTTGCCACCTTAACTTTACTAAGTCACAGTGAGCCAGAATTCAGTCAAAAGCAACTTCACCTAAATAAAGATGCTTTCTACTACATTAGCCATGTGCAATGCTTCATTTCTTCATTCTCAGAACGCCACTAATAACCTCTTATTAATTGCACATTAGCACAGACTAGTGGTCATAATTCACCACTGCAGTTACATGTAATAAAATTACTACACTCAAGAAGTGGTGTGCTATAAAAAAAACCCCAGAGATCCATTTCTTAAGGTTACTTCAAAAAATTTGTTATCTTTCTGTGTACACATTTTATTATCACAGCCTTCTTATTTGGTCATGTTCTGGCTTGACTTCCTTTTCATAAAACACTCAATATAAATAGTTAAAATACTTTTCAACCCATGGAGATGACTGGGACAATAGATACAAGCAAGTAAGAGAAAAAAATGAGATCTAAAATGAGAGAGAAAACTTACAGGATATCCTGAATTTGAAATATCAGTGGGCTTTTAACAAAAATGAAGTCTGTGACCATTAAGAATGTAGCTTTCCACAGTATGAAATACTATGTATTGGCCTCATCTGGAAATATATATCTGAAATTTTAGAACTGTTGTTTTAGAAATATTTCATCGGTTACTCGTTATTCTATATTTCACAGAAGTCAAAATACCTATGGTTTTCTGAAGTGTTGTATCATTTACTTGCCTTTTTTTGTTAAAATGCACATGACATTGACTGAAATTACCTCACTGAAGATGGGTCTTGCTATTCTAAAAACAGATACGTTATATTCTCCTAATATTTTAAGTATCTCCTACTGGTCAACAGTCCTGAAAAGTGACCTCTCCGACTCCAACAGTTTGCCAAGTCAAGGCTGCATTCAAATCAACAGAAACTGCAAACCAAAAGCTGGCACCTTCTTGCCTATCATTTCTCATCACTTAAGCAGCCTCCGGAGGCATGCTAGGCACCCCACAATATAGAGAAGTAATTCATTTAGTTCCAACCCCGCTGCCAAGGGCAGGGACACCTCCCACTAGACCAGGTTGCTCCTATTCCAGCCTGGCCTTGAACACTGCCACGATGGGGCAGCCACAGCTTCTCTGGGCAATTTCTGGCAGTTTCTTCATGTTCTCCATGAAGAAATTTTCATTATGCACACCTCTAGAAAGCTGCACTAAGCACCAACAGTACAGCTTCTACATATTATGAAAGTCAAAAAGATGCATTTGATACATCCCTTAAAATATATGTTGTCTGGGAAACTGAGATCAATCTTGTCTAGCAGCAATCTGAGGGCATGACTGGAAAATATTACTCACGTAGCATCTCAAAGTGAATTTAATGCATCTATCAAGTACTGAATAAACTCAATAAAACAAGCTTCCAGACAAAGTGTTATATTAAATAAGTCTCAGTTTCTCAGCCCATATGAGAGTAATAGTACAAATGTTAAATGCAACTGTAAATTTTACCCATGAAATCATAATTCAAAATTAAATCAGTATCTATACTAGAACTAAATCAGTTGTGTATCCCATGAAAGATTTAAAAATACATAGAACTACTTACGTTTGAACTACTCCACCTAGAATTCAAACAAGATTCAGAAACAGTCTTATTAAAGCACACAGATAGCTTTAATCCCTTGTCTGCTAAAGAAAAGGAGGGTACTTCAGCTTGTCACAAGAGCAATTCACTAAAAGAAATCAGGCAATCTCAAGTAAATTGGCTGCCATCGTCTAGTGCATAAAGACTGTGTAGGACAGTTCTTATCTTTCAAAAGGTAATCCAGAATAGAAGTGACAAAAAATATTTTTAATAAACATCCATTAATCCTTTCATTCCCAAAAACAAGAAGACAGAATGTGAAAGTTGAAGATAGAGAACAAGGTATCACCTCAGCCTCAAGTTTTCTCTTGTGATGAGAAAGAGATAACGCAGGAGTACTGTGACAAAAATCAAGTCTGAACAAGTTTCTCGAAAATGGAATTGTTTGACCTATTTCAGTAACATGTGAAACAAAAGAAATAAATACCCAAATGAAAGATGTCCTAAAGCACTTAAAAAAACCACACAGCCCTCAAATACTTTATTGAACCAGATATGCAACAGCCACACTATGATTGGCCTGAGGTGCTCATTTTGATTTAGTTGTAGTCTGGTCTTAAGGACAGAATCCCCACTAGTACCGGAGCACACTTCTGGTTAAGTGTTTTCCAAAAGAAATCTAGCTTATGTGCACAGAGCACGCTGCCAGTGAAACACAACTCACGTTAAGTGAGAATTATCAAGAGATTTGCTTCAAAAGCACAGTTCTACCTGACCTAATAATGCTAACATTAAAATGTCTTCTGATTTTTTTCTTTTTTATATTTCTGTTTATAGATGACTACACATTATAACAAGACAGTCAACTGGAAAAATAAGACACATATGAATACCACTAGAACTTCCAGTTTAATCATCTTCCTGCTTGTATGGAGGATGCTGAACACACTTCCTCCTTCCTTCTATTCCACTCCACCACAGATCACCCATGGAATAGGTATGAAAAAAACTGCATTCAAGATGCTAAAGAGTAGACCTGCTCTGACCAACACAGAAGAATTTGAGCAGGCAGAGGTCTGAAAAACTGGTTTGATCCACAGTGAGTTAAGCACCCTAAATAACACTCATTTCAAGCAAAAATAGGTTTCCAACAATAAGCACCAATCCTGTCCTGTTTAACAAACACAGACTGAATACTAACTAGTATCTGACAAAATAGAGATTTAAAAAGGAATCAGTATAACCCAAAAATTAAATGCTTAGAGAGAAAAAAATTTGTATTGTAGAAACTTTGACATTTGAGACATCTTTTTTTTAAATTAGAAAAAAAAAAAAAGTAAAAACATTTTGAAGTTTTCATCTCCCTCAACTCTAACAGGACTTCTGATATGCTAGTGCCACATCATGTTACTTTTCAGTATGTGGCTACTTAAGAGTCTTAAAATTAAAAAATCAAATTTAAAATTAAAAAAATTAAAAAATTAAAATTAAATTAGGAGTTTCACATTTGCTCCAGATGTTTACCATTTTACAACACTTTCTCCTGAAAGTTTTTCTTGGCAAATTTGTTTTCCACAACACAGTGCCACACTAGGTATCTGACTACCACTACTACAGTGTCATGCAGAGGTACTAACTAGAGTACCTGACTGATGAAGATGATCGTGGTGCAGGTTACGATCATACTGACTCTAGCTGCAGAGCTGGTGTGGTGGAAAGACTTTAGATAACTCTACAAGCCCTGTACTGCGTAACAGAAAAACCTTTCTGTTCAAGGCTCAATCAGGACATATATTTCTTTTAAAAAACTACCATTATTAAAAACATGTTCTAAACCACAAGTTTCTTCCCCTGCTAGTATTTATGCAACATCAAAAGTCTCAGATTATGCTGTCAAAAATAACAATGCAGTTTGTATTTCTTCATAAAACATTCTTCTTGGCCAAGTCACACTTGTCATTCTATACATACTAACAAACAGACTTTTATACTTCAGTTCTCTATCACAGTGTTTATCAAAATTTTAAGTAGGGAGCTCAGGTTCCCTTCAATTTGAATTACAGGATCAAGTCTTGTATTAATCTTTATTCTCATTATTAGAATATAATATTAATTTCAACACATTCTTATAGTTACAAAAAATTAACACCTTACTTTAAAAATCCTCTGTCATTCCAGTACACTTAGATCTATGCAACAATGCAAACACTGCTGTGGTATATCGTGTCACATTACCTCAGAAACATTTCAAAGTGTTTTACTAAGGCCTTCAGGTTTTTGTCAGGAAAGCACATCTTCCCCAGGATTTCTGGTAGCTTTACTGTAAACAAGAGAAATAATGTTTACACCTGTTCCTGTAAAAGCAACTCCTAACTACTTTTACTTACTCTACAGAAAATAATGTAAAAATTTCTTCTCCCTGCAGCCTCCACTTTTCCTTGCAAGTAACTCACTGATCTTTCAAAGCCTTACTAAAAAGAAGCATGCTGAGAAAGTGAATGCTGCTTGGTTTAATGATGTTTGATAGCATACTGGAAGTAATCCTTGTTTGCTTTTGTTAAATGAAGGCTTACAAAGCCAGTATAAGATAACCAAATTTATGAACAGCCTAAGAGTTTTAAACAGATTAAAATGTACATTTCTCCTAGAATAAAACTAAATGCGATAAAGCAAGCAGAAAACCATAAAAATACAATCACGGGTGCAAGGGGAAGCAATTTTGATTGAGCACAGACTTTACATCAGTTTACCAAACATCCGTAGCAAATGTTGAGAGCCATAGATATATGAGGGAGGTGGTGGTTGATCACTTGGTGGATAATTTTCTGGCATCAATTTCCAGGACAAAACCTACACATAAAACATTAAAGATTTCATAACTAACATTTTATAGCATCATAAATAATTCAGTCTGTAGAGAACCTCAAAATCAAAGATGAAATAAGTAATACAAGCAAAACTTTTTCTTAAATAGAACTATTCTGAGGTCCACAAAATTTTTAATCATGGAATCTAGGACAGTAACATAAAAATTTGTTACCTCATTCAATTCATTGTTTCTTCTTCCTTCAAAGCCAGTAAAAACAGCACTCCCCTCTTTGCTAGGAGTCAAAGTTATAGGTGAAGATGATCCACTATGGACAGGGGTTTCTTCAGAACAGAAAGAAAAACAAAAGAAATCAGAAATAAATATTAGTATTTGTTCTATGGAACTATCAGCCATTAAACATAACTAAGGCCTGCTGCTAAATTTTTTTAAGTCTTTAACACTGGAATTTAATAAACGCTATTCTGAAGTAGGCTCACAGAAAAGCAGCTTCTTGAATTCTCTTGAGAAGTGCAGTACTAAAGTACTGAAAATACTGCTCTGTATTTCTCCTTCTGGTATAAGACCTCAGAGATTGATACAATAAGTAACGAATTCACACTTCGTTCATTCCATTCAGAGTCTACATGGCATAAAAAACAAACGAACAAACAAACAAAAAAAACAACAAAAAAAACCCAAGAAAACAGGACTTAAATCTTGCTTATGGCAACAATTTAGAGCAAAGCTTACTTTTTTCCAGGTGCAAGAAGAGTTTTGGCATAGAAGCTGGGGTCTCAAGATGCCGTCGTTTAGGCTGCGGGGAAGCACTGCTTTCCGATAACCTGTCGCAGTTAGAGCTATGGCGTGTGGAGCGTCTCAGCGACTGCAGAATTTCAGGTTCAGCTTTCCGCCTTTTTGGCGTGGCTGGCTCCCCTGTTGCAGGTTGGCTGTCAGTTGACTGGGGAGTTGGCGGGTTCAACAGAGGAGGACTTGGGGAAAGCTCCTCCTGATTTCTAGGAAACAAAGGCAGCTTTACAGAAGTGCCTGTAAGAGATATGGGCTCTTCCCTCAAAAGAGATTCTTCAAGTTTCACGTATCTTGTTAAATACTTTTCCAGATTACACAGTCTCCTCCTAGTAACTATCAAAGCAGTGAGGCCGCCTTTTGAATCGTTTTCCAGAAGCGTATTTTTTTCAAATTTAAAAGCTAATGAACACAGATTTTTTTTTTGTGTAATTTTTTTCCCCACTAAGCTGCAGCATAACTCTACATCAAATCAGTGCAAATCCCTTTTGAAGTTGCCCAGATGAGAATTCAGGTTCCAAATCCTGAATTCAGGCAAGCAATTCACAGAAGAGTTCAGCATTTTATCAGGACAATTTTTAAGTCAAAGTCTGTGAGAAATCACCTTATGCTGCACACATAACCACATTCTATTGCATTTTCCACAGAAGGTAAGTAGTACTAGACTTCTTAACTACCTGTTAGTATTTGTTGAGTTTTCTTTGATGGGAAGAAAGAATTTTGATGAAGTCACTTTCTTAAATTGAGCTTGCTCATAAGGATAGAGCAAAATTAATGGAAGTGTGAAGTCAAAGGTTATTCTCAGCCCATCCACCATCTCTTTACACAGCTCAACACTAGAGGGGGGGGAAAAAAAATTATGAATTTCAAAGTTGCATGTCAAAATCTTTCAGTGTAATTGTAGAAAAGTCCCCTTTTAATACAGATCATTAACATCTTAACTACAATATGCTGATTTCATCACTAACTAATGATATGCACACTTAAAGAAACAGTGATTGTTGTAGGAAACTTCAGACATACAGATGTTAAAAGTCTGCTTAGTAAACTCAAACAAAATCATAAAATTGTTCTGTTGCTTTCCTATTTACTGGATTAGTAAACTCTACAGTAAATTAAGTTGGTCAGATTTTTTCCTGGAAGCATTATTTTGTTTTTCCAAGTTCACTATGCTCAAAAACAAGGCACCTGCCAGAAAAAAACAGTCAATAGACTGAATCTCTGTGTAAAAGGCACACGTGGAATTTGAGCTACAGCTGCCGAGATTCAGTTAAGACTGTGCTTAAGAGATATCCAGTGTACCAACAAAACTAGATAAATTTGTGTTGGAGATCAGTTTCCAATGTTCCAATAATCAAAGCACTACATGTAGAGGCTACTAGGAATTTAAATTTTAGCCTTGTGTAAAAGACTTACAGTGTTAGGAGGTGAGTAGATGTGCTGCTACAAGCAGAACCCAGAACACTGAGTGCAGCCCACCTGCAACCTCTCCCCTCTGTGAAGGTATTAATCTCTCATGTTTCAAATATATGTATGTGTACAATAACAGCAATTTGATTCTACCAAAGTGACCCATGTTAGAAATCCCATACCCCCTATTACCATTCCATACTTCCCTTTTATTTTTCTTTTTTTTTTTTTTTTTTTTTTAACATTACATATCAATTAGGTCAGGGGGCCCATCAGGGGCAGAAATTCTATCATCCAAGAAGGTCAATTACCTTAGTACAGTAAGGTAATACTATAATGCAGTAAGGGCAATACTATAACGTTGTCAGCTGAATCTCTCCTACTTAATAGGTCACTGAAATTATGTAAGTTCTCCTTATTAAAGCACCATCTGTATTGAGGAAGTCACTTAAATATACACCTTCTTTTAAGAAAAGAAAAAAAAAAAAAAACCCACAACGTGCATACAATCTTTTGTTCTTATTTCTGATGTCTCATCTAAGTTCTTGTTTGGGATATGATATTACAAAGAAGAAAAGTATCATTAATCTGACATCAGTATAAACCTAGAAACTCATAGACCAAAATATTGCAAGGAATCGCATTATTATGCACCACTGAAATAGAACATAGTAACAAAAGCCAAGATTTCACCCCAGTGTAGACTTTGATAAAGAAGCAGTCTCATCTGATATTGAGAATCTTTAACATAAAAAAAGAAACAAACAAAAAAACCCTGGTGCAAAGATGCAGGCTTAACACACTGAAGTTGGAATTTAAGATAATACATCAACTAAAAGAAAAAAAATAAAAAAAAAAGAATCACCTGCACTTGGGAGTTCTTCATGAGGATTTGTATAAAATTTTTATCCTTTATAAAATTTGAATCTGTTCAGTTTTACTTAAGCAGGGTATTCTCACATCAGATATGCTCTCAGTGCTGAAAAAATTCTTCTAAAACAGGTCACAATATTTGCAAGAACTTACATTATAAAAGGGGATATTAAGGTTTTTGCGCTATGACTTTTCAGGGTATAGGGACTCTCCCACCGATAAACAAATTGTCAGTGTTACAGTACTTTAGGTATCTGTCAAATATTTTAAGCCCATAAATAGACATACATCACAGTATAAGCTCAGAGAAGTGAACAGTCTTGAAATGGAACACAGAATGCAAGGTCATTTTTCTAACTATAGAACTGGACTAAAGATTACTTACTTCTTCTCTGGTGGCACATAATGAAGATTCATGTTAGCATGTGGAGTCATCTGATGGTGCCGAGATCTTTCATTGGCTGAAAAAGCAGCATTAATAGCAAAATGTTTCACATATGACTCCAGGATTGTTATTATGTTTGTCTGACAAGGAAGCTTCACTAGCTGAAAAAGAGAGAGCAAATTAATGCATTAGAAAGACTGTTAGTAATTATACAAAGCTAAAACAGGAGCTTGTAACGTACTGACTAGTTCAGTAAGTCTCTACTGCATGAAGGCATTTCATGTGTGACTGATTTCTACCCTTAAACTGCATTTTTTATCAATTCTTTATAAACATCTGGACAAACAAAACCATGGTCAGAATAACAAGCTTACATTTTCAGCTTTAAAAAACAATCTGCACTCTAACATTCAATTGGATACCAAAATGTACATTCTCAAACACAATGACAACTCACTGTTTTAGCTATTAAGAAGTTAGCTCCCTATGCTCTTTTTACTCTTCCTTACTGTCTAAGCTTACCTTTCCAATAAAGTTAAAAAACCCAGGAGTCATATACACAAAAACTACTTCTGATGCCCTCCCCACTCCTCTGTGCATTCATTTCATAGCTCTTATTTCATACCCGTTTTCTTCTATTAATATAGTAACAGTCTTCCTCAAGCTTCTTTTTCAAGACTTCAGGAATTTCTATGCTTATTGCTCTTTCTTCCATGTCCCTTTTTGTATGAGTGTCTTGTTCTTCTTTCTACAACAAACCAGTGAAAGAAACAATATACTGGTTGTGCTTATGAACATTAGTGAAAAAGAACCTCAGTAGTCAGTATACAATGTAACAATCAAGTTTTGTCATGCAAAAATAAAATTATATTATTTTAAAGTATAGTGATTAAGTGGCTAGTAGCCTTACTGTAAGCAATTTAACAATACTGCTTTAAAGTAATTTGCAAATTCATTTTCTAAAACATTAAAATTTAAACTTTCATTTTAAACTTTAAATCTAGCATTCAATTAAGTATTTAATTCAAAAGAATGAACAGAAATTTCTTAGGTTTTGCTGCTTCAGATTGCCCACACTGCAGCAGTTGAGATTCTACAGACCTTCAGAAAAATAGTTCATGCTGTACTTCCTTTTTGATAATGTAGAGACAATACATTTCCTTTCCTTGAAGTCAGCCTTTTACATTTTAATGTAAGACCAGAGCTGACATGCCTGTTTCACAGCAAAACAAAAGCCAAAAAGATCCTGCTGCTTGCTGTTCCTGACATGGGCAAGGACACCTTCCACTAGATCAGGCTGCTCAAAGCCCTGTCCAGCCTGGCCTTGAACACTGCCCACCCACCCTGGCCTTGAATCCCGCCAAGGATGGGGCAGCCACAACTTCTCCAGGGAACCAGTGCCAGTGTCTCACCACCCTCACAGTAAATATTTTCTTGCTAATATCTATTCTAAATCCATCCTATTTCAGCTTAAAGCCATTCCCACTTTGTCCTGTTACTACATGCCCTTGCAAAAAGTATCCCTCCAGCTTTCTTGTAGGTCCCCTTCAGTTACTGGAAGGCTGCTCGAAGGTCTCCCTGAAGCCTTTTCTTTCTCTTCCAACTCACTCAGCCTGTCTCCATAGGAAATGTGGTCCATCTCCCTGATCATCTTCATGGCCCTCCTCCTTCTCTTATGTTAGGGGCCCCAGAGCCAGTCACAATAGTCCAAGTGGGGCCTCACCTAGAGCAAAGTAGAGGGGAAGAATCTCCTCCCTAACATGCTCCTTTTGATGTAGCCTGGCATACAGTTAGCTTTCTGGATTAAACTCCAGCTGAATTACCAGCTGTGGCCTACATTTTATACACCTCAATTTTTTCCAGAGTTTCAAATACATATATTTAAATTCTATTAAGTTAAGGAGCTCATACCATTTCTGTCCTCTCTTCTATGTCACTTTCTTCACTTTTTATTTCTTCATCTGTTCCTTCATCACTGTCATCAGAAGAAGAACTACTTATAGCTGTGTAAAAGAGATTTCACATATTTGTCTCACATTACTACATTGCAGAGGTTAAGACCAATTAATTTCAGGCCTCAATTAAAAAAAAACAACAAAAAAACCAAAAAAATAACAGGGAGGGAGGGGAAGAGAGGGATAACCAAACACAACCAAACAAAACAACTAGCTTGTTTATTTAATGAAAATTAATAGTTCTAATTGAATTAAGCACACTATTATTTACAACATACTACAAACTTTTTAAATATAGAGCAAAAGTTTACAGAAAGTATTCTTGTATCCTAATTGAAAAAAAAAAATCACTTCTAAAAGCTCACTACACTACTGAACAACCACTGATCATTTCAAATTGTATTGGACTTTAGGTCTGAACAGGGATTAATGTATTTATCATTCAATCAGAAGGTCTCGATCTGTGCAGCAACAGTTAACAACCGTAAGTGCCAAACAGTGTTTCTGGTGTCTTTCAAGTTACAAAGCAAAATGCTATGAAATTTTAAAAAAAAAAAAACTGAAATAAAAAAAAAGAAACTGAAATCAGCTCATCAGCTGACATGCAAGTCCTCTGTGCCAGGTAGACTAGGGGCAGAGGGGACAACAACACAACAAACAAAACCAAACAACACGCACACACACCACCACCACCCCACCCCACTCCCAACAAAATAAACCCAAACAAACAAAAAACAATCCACTTATTGCTCACTAAAATATGTAGGAACACTAGCAGGGAAAGTGTCTTACATTCTAACACCAAACAAAAAAAGCCTAGACTTCTTGCACCTGTTAAGGCTATACTAAACAAAGCAGCATTAAGACCTGAAATCAGTAAGTATAATAGCTGAGTGCAAGTGACAGAAGGAAAAGCCTCTGGAATACAAGTAAAAGCAGGAATATAAACTTGATAGCTACTTAGCATGAAACGTACTGCTTACTCTTCATATGACTGCTCCATACATTTCACATAGGACCATGATACTCTTGTGTCATCCTATGATCAAAAAATTAAAGGCATCACACCAGCTATTAAAGAATGAAAACAAGCTCACAGTTTTCGCTACTCTCATCATTTTCTTCAGCAGGTAGACTTTTTAATACAGAGTCAACACCAGGCAGCCTGCAACGTCTCTTCTTTCTTCCCTTTCTTCTCCTAAAGAACATAAAATGGTTCACTGAAATTTGGCTAATATTATTTGTTTATCCTACCTAGCTAATTATATTACATGCAAACGCCCAGGAAAAATATGTTTGAGTTATTTTCATTAATGAATGTTGAAATAATTTGGACAAAGCTTATTTGAGAGTGGATACAATAATGTCCGTACATTACCTCATATTTGTGTTCTCAAGCAGATTCTCAAGGCCGTGGCCAACCAATATTAGATTACTGCCTTTGGCTGAAAAATGCTTCCAGTTTTCCCAAGTTATTTTTCAAGTACATTTATTTGGGAAGATGTAGATCCAATACACAGACATTTTGCAGCAATAATTAAGAACAGCATAGTTATTAAGTGTTAGTTGTTTCATGTTGTTTAGTAACAATATATAGGTATTGACCTTAAAAAGACAAAAGTAGCTCTCCAGAATACACTGACTGGTACTGAGAAGCAGCATGAGCTTAGAGTTCAAAGTCACTTGCAGACACTGGGATGTATCTGTTTGAATCTGAAAATGAATCTCTCATCCACTTTGAGATCAAAAGGATTTCTTACATGCGAGCCACAGCTTTCCGTGCCAATTTACGCTGTAATCTGCGGTTTTCGTCCGTATCGCGAAGAACATGATCTTCAGCTGCCCATCTATCCCAGCTAAGGATAGGTCAAAAGAAAATTAACAACAGCTATGAAAATATGCTGCTCAATATACATTACATCTTAAAAAAAAAAAAAAAGCACTCTCAATGTCATTCAGAAGCAACATCTGTATCACAAGGCTTGTACCCTTTTGTATTCACATGACTTCAATTCTTGTGTTGCTAAAATCTCTCAAACCTTGACTCAACACGCGATGGTGTTTGCAGCACTGATACATGCTACAAAGGATCACAGACAGAGACTGCACTCATGTACTGGCCTTGACAATCAAACAAACCAGGTCTAGATTTAACAAGATACAATCTCCTTTTATTAATGGAAACCTAGGAGCCACAAGTATATACCAAAGACAGATATCCCATAAAGTTTAAACTCATAACTATCAAACCGATCCACATGTCAACACAAGCAAGTATATTAAAGGCATTCACAGAAACAAAAATAATCCTGCAACATCTCATACTCTGTGCAATGCCTTTTTCTGCAGAATAATATAGAAGAAACAGAAGAACTGAAACCACACATACAGGTCCTTACCTTCTATTCCAGCCGTTAAAATGGATCAGATATTCTGGAATCTTTCTGCCTTTCTCATCTTTTCCAACAATAATATCAACGATCTGGAACAAATATTAATAGCATGTATTAAAAAGCTTGAGAAAAGTCAGCTTTCCACTACTTAGGGAGTTCATGCACAAAGGAAAAAAAGTAGTATTTATGGAAATTAAACAGATCTACAATTTTGCCAGTGAATACTGATAGAAGGAATGGATTATATTAAGTGGTAAGAAAAAACACCTGTTTTATGGAGCACTTTTAAAGTTGGGGACTGCTAACCCTCTTTGTCCTGTCTTCAAACGTCCCATGCTTTCAAGACACAAAAGGGAGATGCAAAACAAGACAGTATCGCAATACAGCTAAGCAAATATACATCTGGGCTACTAACATTTTCTCCCGTGTGCTGTCTCTTCATACTCTCAAAGCAAGGGACAAAATAGTTCTATATATATAAACTTCAGAAGCACTGCTGTCTCGGAACAACACAGAATCTTAGCCACTAAATATTAAAAGGCTTTGTGAATACCTGAGCCTTTGTTTCCTTCCTCTCACACATGTAAAACAGGCCCGCCTAAAAGGGCCTGCTCCTCAAAACTAAGAGACATTTCAGGTGGATCATTAAAAGCAGCATCAGGACTAGTAATAACAAAGGAATTATTCTGCCTGCACTTCAGTGGCTCTCGATAGATCATGTACCTCCAGATGCAAGCACTAGCTAGGCTAATGTTTTAATTCGGGAGTCCTGAATTTAGGAACTATTGATGGAGTCCAAGGACAGTTATGCTCTAGTTTGAAGTATCTGAAAGTAAAGAAGGCACTATTATTTTTTGCGCTCGGGTTACCTCTAGGGCTGGCAATTAAAGCTGTTGGGGCGGTCAGAACACAGGAATACACATCCAGACAAAAAGGCAGCCCAAAACATTACAGGAAGCAGAGACCCTGATCAAAGATGTCTGAAAAACACTGGTCTACACAACTAGCAGACCTGCAGCAAAAACATTAATTTGGTCAAGAATCCAGTTTCAACACCTCCCTTGTCATCCCCCTCTGCAACTAAACAAAACAAAAAGCCAAACAGAACTCTGTTCGCAAGTTAGATACAGACTTGGGATTGAAAAAAACACATCTTGTGTCCCACTGATACCCAGAATCAATGGTATATTTACATAAAGCGCTACAGCTACTATTACTGGTTTTGAGGTCAGGCCCAAGTGAGTCAGTCATACCTTATTGCAACACTTACGATCTATCACTCACTGTTTGCTAGCGTATTCCTGTATAACTCTCCTGTACAATCAGTAGCATCAGTAAGACTAAGGGAGCAGGGAGGGGGAATAAAACAACCTCTGCTACAAAAGCGCAGGAATTAAAATAAGATTTCAGGATTACTTTGCAGGTGTCCAGCCGAGAACAGAAGGCGGGAACCGCGTCCGAAACCTCCCGAGCCCCTCGGCAGCTCCGTTCTCTACCAGAAGCGAGAGCAAGGCCCCCGCGTCCCGGACTCCACCGCCCCTTCGTCACCCGAGCAGAGGGACGCCCCCACCCGCAGGGGAAAGGCCCGGAGGTTCGTACACAGCTGCTACCCTCCCCCTAACCCCAGGGAGGAGGGGCCGATGTGAGGGGCAAGAGCCGAGTTCCGCCAGGGGACTGGGCTGAGACGGCCGGGGACGACGACAGCGGCACAAGGGCGGGAGGGGAAGGAGAGGCCCGGTAGGGACGGGCAGCGCCTCGCTTTGTCTCCCAGCCCGTGACGGTGGGCGGCCCCCGCCC